CCGCACAGTGGGATGGCGGTTCCAAAATGCCTAACGATTGGGGCGTTCTCGCCAAACTCGCTTTCTTTACGGTTCCACAGCGGTTCCAAACAAGAGAAGTGGGTTCCGAACAATTGGAAAACGAGCGTTTCGCTTGAGATGTCCTTTGAATTACACGTGGTATCTGGCTCCAAACAGGTCCCAAACAAAAGAATCGCGCAAGACATCCCCTGCAAATGGCGTGCGCCCCGTTCCAAGCAACGACGGCCGCGGCGATGACGACGACGACCACGACGACGACCACGACGTTGACGTGCGCTCTCGCCCGAACGCCGGCCACTCCCTGGTTCTCGCCTCATCGCTGGCTAGTGTCTCGGTCTGGCCGACCGCACTCCCTTAAGCAAGAAGGGGGCCCCAGTGCTGCGTTTCCCCCCTTCGGGAGGGGGACGTGCTGGGGGAGACAACGTCGCCCCCTCGAGACAAGACCAGGCAATTTGTGAGGACGTCCCAGGCAACACCAGACCCCAACCAAGCCAAACATTACCAGTTTGAAAAATATCCCTATCCCTATGTTTGACATCACCTCACCTCGATGCCGATCTTAAGGATTCCCTCAGTTTCTGAAGGCCTATCCCTAAGATTGTCCTCGCTTTTTTGCTCGCCCATCTTAGGGATAGGGATACGTTCGAGGCTGGTTAAGACAGGCAAATTGTAAGGATATCTCAGATGAGACCGGGCCCAAACCAGGCAAATTGTGAGGACGTCTCAGGCGAAACCGGGCCCAAACCATGCAATACCGAGCAAGTTGTGAGGACGTGTCGGGCGAAACCAGGCCCAAACCAGGCCAAACCAAACAATTTGCGAGGACGTCTCAAGCAAAACCAGGCCCAAACCAGGCCAAACCAAGCAAATTGTGAGGAAGTCCGAACAAATTGTGAGGACGTTTTAAGCAACACCGAGCCCAAGCCAGGCCAAACTAAGCAAATTGTCAGGGCGTCTCAAGCAAAACCGGGCCCACACCAGGCCAAACCAGGGGCCAGGCCAAACCAAGCAAATTCGGAGAAAGTCTCAAGCGGTTTGCGCCACCCAACCAGGCCAAACCAGGCCAAACCAGGACCCAAACCAGGCAGATTTTGAGGACGTCCCAAGCAGAATCGCCCGAACCAGGCCCCACCCATTCTCCTTAACAAAATCGGATTAAGTGAGTGGATCACACCAGGTCCCCCCCCCTGCGCGAGCCTGTTTAGAATTTTATGGGGGCCGCGTTTGGATCATGTCCGGTGAGGCGGACGGGGTTGGGTGCGGAAGGTTTCGTGCGTCTTTCGGTTGTTCTTGGGGCGTTGGTATTGGCGTAAAGAGAACTGTTTCCGAGTATGTAGTGGGTTGTCTTTTGCCTACGCATCCATCGCAACCAGCCACCCGTTAGTTCGTTTGCAAAACCCTGGCGGCGGCGACTGCGATGACTGCATCGCGCTGGCTGGCGCATCTCTGCGGCCGCGCTACCGCGCGCAAGGCGGCCAGCTGTCTGGCGCGACCATCGCGGTCGCGATAACGCTGACCGCTGTGGACTTCCCAGCGCGTATCGCAGGCCGCGCTGTCGCGCGGGCACTCCAGTGCGAGTCAGTGATCTGGGCAGTTGCGGTATTGTGGTGACGTCGATGATGACAGTGCCAGCGGCAAGGCCAATGATGGCGCCGATGGTGACAACCCCGACGAACATGTGCCGGTGACGAATTAACACAACAAAATACGCTTTTGACATGCGCGCGCGACCGAGGGGCGCGAGTGGCCAGCGTGGTTTTATTTGAGGCGTATCGCGCTCCCCCATAGCGCGCAAGGCCTTTCAGAGGATTTTGACATGCGTGCGCGGGAGGCCCGCGTGGTTTCATGTGACGAACATGTTGGAACACTTTTGCTCTTGCGTAAGAATTCGCAAAGACGCGCGCAGATTTTTTGGAACACCAGGTTGCAAACTCATATTTTTCATGTGTTTTCGGGAACGCCGATCTTGAAACTCGTCCAACATGCAACAATTTTGTTGTAGGATTGTGGTCTGCGCGCGCGACGTTACACGCGTGTATATAATGTGCCATATTTTGGAAAGGCTGTCGCGCATGATCGACATATTGACTTGTGACAGGGATGGAGGGGGGTCGATACGGGCACTCCTTGGCATGATATGAGATCATGTTTTTAATGAGTGATGGGATAGGATCGAGTGCTTAGCGTAGTACTTCAGGGAAGGCGGATCAACCTGGGGGGTTGTTTTCGTGTTTTACGTGTGAGAAAAGAGAGCATTTGGCGCAATCTGTGTGGTGCTATGTACAGGGTGTAAACTATGTGGTGCAATCTATGTGGTTCAAATCGCCCTGCCGAGCTTGAAGTTGTCGAAGCCACTGCGCGTGCAATCTCCCCACCCACCCACCCGCAATTTCATATGCAAAACCTGTGCAGCGGCGATTCCGATGATTGCTTGGCGCTGGCTGAGCATCACGGCGGCCGCGCTTCGCGCGGCCGCGGTAGCGCGTGCAGGTTCGCGCGCCAATCGGCCAGTTGGTTTGGCGCGACCGGCGCGGCCTGGGTGGCGCTGACCGCTGGGGACCTCCCAGCCCGTGTCGTGGGCAGCACTGAGCGCGGGCACTTCAGTGCGAGTCGGTGGCTTGGGCGGGCGCATTCTCATGGTGACGTCGACAACGGCAGGCGCGATGGTGATCGTCGCGATGCTTGTGGCGACGCTCAGGATGACGATGGCGAAGCCAATGATGGCGCCGATGCTGAGCGCGCCGATGACGATGATGGTGTCCACGTGTCGGCGACAAAGGTTTTCAGCAACAATTCGACATGCGCGCGCGGCCGACGGGCGCGAATGGCCCGCGTGGTGTTATTTGACAGGGTTCGTGCCCCCCAGCAGGCGCGCGAAAACGCTCGAATAATTCCGGCGTGCGCGCGCGAAAACCCCGCTGGGTCGCATTCGGTGGGAGCGTTGGACAACCAACAGTATTCACAAGAATGAGCAGAGGCGCGCGCAGATTTTCTTTTGAAAAACGGTGTTGCAAAACCATTGATCGCCATATGCTGTCGGGAAATTCGAGCTTGAACTCCTGACGAAACATGTTTGTTATTGTGAGAGATTTCGACATGCGCGCGCAACGACGCGCGAGCGCCGATTTTTTTTTTTGTTCTTTTTTTCTTTAAATATTTATGTTTGTGGAACGGGTTTCCGCATATGTATGTTTTTTTGATGAACGGTTTGTGCTCGCAGTATTATATGATAGGGACCAGGAGGGTAGGGCGATAACGGTCTGCTCAAGATGGTATGATTTCATATATCGAATGGGCGATGGGGCAGAATCGTATGTCATGTGTATTACTTCGGGGGGAGTCGATACAGCCGGGCGCTGGTGGTGGTGGTGGTGGTTGATTTTCATTTTTTGGCTAGAAAAGGAAATTCTATATCGTGCAGGCTACGTGGTGTACATTATGCGGTGAACACTATGCGGTGCAGCGCGAAGCAACGCGAAACAATGTGAAACAATGCGGGGAAACGCGAAGCGGGCAGCGACCAGGCGGCGGGCGGCGACGAAACGGCGACGGCGACCACACAGCGGCCAGACATGGCCCGCATGCCCCAGCGACGGGCGGCTTCGAGGCGGCGACGGCGGCCACATGGTGGCCAAAGCAGCCCCCCAGGCCCAGGCGACGGGCGGCGACATGCGGCAACGGGCGGCGACGAGGCGGCGACGGCGGCCACATGGCGGCCAGAGCGGCCCGCAGGCCCAGCTCTAAAAAAAAAACCTCGAAGTGCAATCACTGTTTGGGGTATAACTCGCATGTGCAATTTCAGCCAGCGCGGGTCCCAAACAATGTTTTTTTTTTTTTTTTTTTTTGTTTTTGTTTGTTTTTTGTTTTTTGTCATCCGCGTTGCGCATTCTACAGTCAACCCGCATAGTGAGGATGGGCAACCTTCCCAAGGATACCCTTGCATCCTTGCCTCCTCGGTCCATCCTTGGCCACTTTCGTCGGCCGCGCCCTTTTCGAAAAGCTTCGACATGCGCGTCCAATGCCCTTGCATCCTTGTCGCGCATCCTTATGATACGGGCCGACTGTACGTGAAACAAAATCTGTGGTGCAACCTATACGGTGCATAATATGCGGTGCAATCTATGTGGTGCAATCCATGTGGTGCGACCTATGTTGTGCCTATATGTTGTACAAACTGTGTTGTGCGATCTGTGTAAGCATGCTGTGCACTACATGATGTGCGATCTATGTTGTGCAATATAGATTATATAATGTTTGTGGCGCAATCTATGTGGTGCACACGATGTGGTGCAATCGATGCGGTGCAATCTATGCGAGGCGATCTATGTGGTGCGTAATATGTTGTGCGATGTAAGTTGTGCAATCGATGTGGTACTATCTATGCTGCGCAATCTATGTGGTGCAACTTTTTGTTATGCAATCTATCTGGTGCTATCTATGTGGTGCTATCTATGTGGTGCAATTTATGTGGTGCAATCCATGTTGTGCAATCTATGTGGTGCAATTATGCGAGGCCGTGAAGACCGAAAATCATGCCCAAACGACGGGCGGCGACGAGGCGGCGACGGTGCGGCGACGGCGAGCACGGAGCCGCCAGACCGACAATCAGGGCCAGTTCTTCAGAAGAGAAGTAAGAACCCCTCAGTGCAAGCACCATTTTGGAGAATAAGATGAGCATGCGCTTTTTGGAAGTCCGCGGGGATCCTTGGCTCTGTGCTGGATCCCCCCTCTGGCGGCGCCGGCGCTCCCCGCGCGCCAGGGAGTGGGGGGGCCCAGCGCCGATTCCAGAATTCCGTCTGGACATCCGAGAGGGAATGTGTATGTAATTTTTCTTCTTGTGCGACACAAGGGGCGGTACATGTCTGGACAGAGTACTGCAGGTTTACTGTGTAGACGTCGCACGGCGTTATCTCACCCCGTCCCATTTGTTGAGCTTCTGCTTGACCCAGTGCAGCCGACATATAAATAACGCTCTCCAGGGCCGCTTCCTGCGCATAGTTTTCAACCTTGCTGCGGCCTCATCAACGGCCGTGTCTTACGAGTGCGCCTCTTCACTAGTTTCGCTGTCCTCCTCGCCCGTTGCGATCCACCAGGCCACCACGGCTTATGTCGCTGCCTCAGCGGGAGCTGCTGTGGCAGCCGATCAGGTGGTCCCAGGCGCACAGTAAGCCGCGGAGGAGGAGGAGGAGGAGGAGGAGGAGGAGGAGGCTTCCTCCTCTTCTTCCTCGTAGTTGGCCCCCCAAAACTTCGATGGCTTGCTTTTGGATGCGCGGGCCGCAGAGGTCTCGACCCCGCACCCGGGGGACAGCGCTTCTCGTCCTGGATCCGCTTTTTGAGGGTCCCGGGTACCGAAAATTGTCTTTGGAGGCCCAGATTGAAGTCGGGCCTGCTCCTCTACAGGAGGAACACTCAAAAATAGGAAAAAATTGTGCGGGGACTATTTTTGAGTATTTTTGGGCATTTAGTTGATAATTTTTTGAATATTTTCCCTTTTTCGTCCAAAATCCCCCTGCAGGGGGACACGCCCGACTTAAGCCCAGATTGAGGAGGCGTGCTGGGAATGAACCAACGAATCCGTCAGTAGTCTGGGCTCTCCTCCTCCCGCGATCGCTGCAGGCGGGGAGGGCGAGACTGGGCGAGGTCGCGAGGGCGAGGGTGAGGGCGTGTGGGGGCGGCTGCGGCGACGTCGGCCGAAGTTTCGGCGAGCGCACTGTGAGAGAGAGAGAGAGAGGGAGAACGATACAGTCAACCCGCGTAGTAAGGATGGGCACCCTTCCCAATGGTACCCTTGCATCCTTGCCTCATCGGTCCGTCCTTGGCTGCTTTCATTGGCCGCGGCCCGCTCGAAAAGCTTCGAAGTGGGCGTCCAAGGCCCCTGCATCCTTATCGTGCATCCTTACTATGCGGGTTGACTGTAGGGGGAGAGAGAGAGAGAGAGAGAAAAACAAAAAGAGAGGGAGAGAGAGAGAGAGAGAGAGAAGGAGGGAGAACAGCATGCAACACGCGAATCACATAATAGCTGCACAACACGTTCGGAGGCCCGCGAGGATCTCCCGGGTCGGCGCCGGACCTTCCGCCTGCGCTGCCGGCCCTGGCGCGCTTCGCACGCCAGGGGAGGGGGGGTCCCGCGCCGTCCCAGGAAATCTGCGTAGGCTTCCCACAGCTTTCTGTTGAACTCTCATTCTTGAAGAATAATTATTGTTGATCCCCCCCCACCGGTGCACATTGATTTTTTTCGATTGAAGTGCCACCCCCGGGGCTCGCACCTTGTTTTTTCTCAAGGAAAGTCTTCCTGCTCAAACTGTGCCCCTGCCCCCCGGGCTACAACAACAACGGCTCCCGCCTGAAACTTCCTCGATTTTTACTCAGGGCCCCCGCTCCCGCCTGAGACTTCCGCGCAATTTACTGAGGAAAGGCGCTCCCGTTTGAGACTTCCTCGCAATGTGATCAAGACCCCCGCTCCCGCTTGAGACTTCCGTGCAATTTACGTGGGAACGGCGCTCCCGCCTGAGACTTCTTCGAATTTTACTCAGGACCCCCGCCCCTGCCTTACATTTCCGCGCAATTCACTCAGGAACGGCGCTCCCGCTTGAGAATTCCTCGCAATTTAGTCAGGATCCCCGCTCCCGCCTGAGACTTCCGTGCAATTTGCTCGGGAACGGCGCTCCCGCTTGAGACTTCCTCGCAACTTAGTCAGGGCCCCCGCTCCCGCCCGAGATTTTCTCACAATGTACTCAGGACTGCGCTCTCGCGTGCGACGTCCTCACAAATTATTCTGGAATTGCGTTTCGGCGCTCAGGAACCACGCGCGCGCCAAGGACGCCTTCACAACGTGGTATCTTCCCTCTTCCTTCGTCCTTCCCCCTCCCCTTCCTCCCACTCTCCCTCGTTCTTCCCCTCCTCCTCTTGCAGGGCCCGCGCCAATTCCAATGGCGGGCAAAGAGATGTACGCCCCCGAAGGATTGTCCGCCCGTTCCGGTTTGCCCGTACGTCTAAGCCCGCCGGCCCCAGCAAAGAGAAATAATCCCCCCGAAAGGGGTGTGATCGAAGACGAAGAGGGCGGGTTTCGAGGGTGTAGGGTATACGTGTTGAATGATTCGCGGGCAAGTAAGAGCGTACAGCCTTAAAATGGTTGTTGTTGTTGTTGTTGTTGTTGTTGTTGTTGTTGTTGTTGTTGTTGAAATCTCATGTCTGAAAAATAATTATTGTTGATCCCCCCTCACCGGTGCATACTGGTTTTTTCTAAATCAAAGTGTGCCCCTCGACGCTCGCACCCAGTCTTTTGACAGGGAAAGTCTTGATGCTCAAACTGTGCCCCTGGCCCCCCGGATTACAACAACAACGGCTCCCGCCTGAGACTTCCTCCAAATTTACTCAGGACTTCCGCTCCCGCCGTAGAATTTTTTTATAATTTACTCAGGATCGGTGCTCCCGCCTGTGACTTCTTCGCAATTTAGTCAGGACCCCCGCTCCCATCTGAGACCCTCTCACAATTTACTTAGGAACGGTGCTCCCGCTTGAGACTTCCTCGCAATTGAATCAAGACTTCCTCGCAATTTAATCAAGACCCCCGCACCCGCTAGAGAACCCCTCACATTTTATTCAGGAATTGCGTTCTCGCCTGTGATTTCCATGCGATTTATTCAGAAATCGCGCTTTCGACGCTCAGGAAACACGCTGCGCCAAGGACGCCGTCACAATTTACTTCGGAATCGCGCTCTCGCCATACTCAGGCATCCCGCTTGAATGTCCCACCCGCCCGACCCGCCCGTCAGGGGATCGCCCGCCCGTCGTCCGCTCCCGCCCGAGACTTCCTTCAGGCACGGCGCTTTCGCCTAGGACTTCCTCGAACGTTCACGTTCTTACCTTCCTGCTCCTCCTCCCTCTCCCTCCTTCCTCCTCCCTCCTCACCTCCCTTCTCTCTCCCTCCTCTCTTCCCTCATCCTTCTGCCTCTCTGCCCTATACCCTCTCCCTCCTCTCCCTCCTCCCTTCTCCCTCCCCTCTCCTGCCTCCTCCCTCCCCCTTTTTTTTTTTTTTTTTTTTTTCTCTCTCTCTCTCTCTCTCTCTCTCCTCTCTCTCTACCTCTCTTATTTGCCTTTCCTCTCTCTCTCTCTCTCGCTCTGCCTCTAATCAACCGCCCCCCTCTTCGCTGCTTCTCTCCTGGCGTTTTCCCTCTTCCTTCGTCCCTCCCCCTCCCTTCCTCCTGCTCTCCCTCGTTCTCCCCCCCCTTTTGTTTGCAGGACCCACACCAATTCCAATGGCGGGCACATGTACGCCCACGAAGGATTGTCCGCCCGTTCAGGTTTGCCCACCTGTCTAAGCCCGCCGCCCCCCGCAAAGAGAAACAATCCCCCCAAAGGGGGTGTGATCGAAGACAAGAAGGGCGGGTATCGAGGGTGTGGGGAATTCGTTTTGAATGACACACGGGCAAGTAAGAGCGAACAGTCTTATACTGCTTGTTGTTTTTGTCGTTGGCCATTCATTATGGTCACACGGTCAGCCCGCATAGGAAGTATGGGCAACATTCCCAACGGTACCCTTGCATCCTTGCCTCCTCAGTCCATCCTTGGCCACTCTTGTTGGCCGCGGCCCGCTCGAAAAACTTCGAATGGGCGTGCAAGGCCCTTGGCATCCTGATCATGCGTCTTTCTTATGCGGGCCCGTCAGGTTCTGCCACGTGCTTTCTGCTTCTAGCCCCCCTCCTGCCAGTTCCGTGCTATATCCTGCCCCCCCCCCCTTTCCCTCCGACCCCTCTGCTTTAGGGACTGCGCCAAAAAACGCGGCAGGCAAGGAAGATCTACCCCCGGGGGCGTTACGATCGAAGACGAAGAGGGCGGGCATCGAGGGTTTGGAATGGACCTGCTGAATGGCGCGCGAACAGGTCAGAGCGAAACGTCTTTAACATATTGTTGTGGCAGTTGTTGCTGTTGTTGGTTGTTGTTTTTGTCGTTGTGTTATTGTTGTTGTTGGTTTTGTGTGCTCTCTCTCTCTCTGTGTTTTTTTTTCTCTCTTATGCTCCGTGGGCGTGCACACACACGCGCACACACGCACACACGCACACGCATACACACATACACACAACACACAACACACAACACACACCACACAGCAGACAACACACACCACACAACGCACAATACACAACACACAACACAACACACACCACATCACATAACACACAACACGCAACACACAACACACCCACACACCACACACCACACACACCACACAACACTCAACACATACCACGCAACACACATACCACAACAACACAACACACAACACCCAACACACATCACACACCACACACACGCGCACACAACGCACAGCAGACACACCACACAACACTCAACACATAACACACAACACACATACCACAACAACACAACACCCAACACCCAACACACAACACACATCACACACAACACACAGCAGACAACACAACACACAACACACAAAACACAGCACCCAACACACAACACACAACACACACCACCCAATTCTGATCACTCAAGCCTCAACACTCAACACTCACACTCACACCCACAGACACACACACACACACACACACTCACGCACATACACGCACACACGCACTCGCACACACACACACACACACACGCGCACGCGCACGCGCACGCGCACGCGCACGCGCACGCGCACGCGCACGCGCACGCGCACGCGCACGCACACGCACACGCACACGCACACGCACACGCACACGCACACGCACACGCACACGCACACGCACACGCACACGCACACGCACACGCACACGCACACGCACACGCACACGCACACGCACACGCACACGCACACGCACACGCACACGCACACGCACACGCACACGCACACGCACACGCACACGCACACGCACACGCACACGCACACGCACACGCACACGCACACGCACACGCACACGCACACGCACACGCACACGCACACGCACACGCACACGCACACGCACACGCACACGCACACGCACACGCACACGCACACGCACACGCACATGCTTCGAGGCCTCTTGAGTACCTTGCGTGCTTCTCCGCCGTCTTGGAAGCGTTGGAGATCGTCAGTGAGATGTCGGGCCGCCCAGAGACCCTTGGGAAAAGGGTTGGGGTAGTACGTGCGGCTGGGCGCAAGGGTAGATCGGTCAGCTTGTTCTCACCGTGTCGAGCAAATCATTGCACTTTCCAGGCCTTCAACGGACCTGATTTTGATATTCTCACGATCCGATGCTGCCCGTTGCTCGCATGGGGTCCTTGCGCATCCTGGCGCGGTCGATCCGATTCGATTCCGACTCCGTGCCGCTGCAGCGCTCGTGCGTTACTTCGTGCTTGTGCTCGTGCGTTACTTCGTGGGTCCACTCCTTCTGCTTGGACCCTTGCAGGCCTCCGTACGAAGCTCTACGGGACTCGGCTGCACCTGGCACAGCAATCGCCGCGGGACAAAAAATATGTACACGAAAACCGCGTCCGAGCGACGGCAAGTGGCGCTGTTTCGCCCCATCGTCAGTTGGACTTTCCTTCCTCGATCCTCTTCATCAGTAGGCCTACCTTGCCCCTCGACCCCGCTTCCTTTACTCGCCCACACCCCCCCACCCTCGACAGGGGACAGAAGCTTGAAGGACTCGTCCCCGAACGCTATACCACCTTCGACCCCTTGTCGATTGGCGATGGTCGGGCTCTTGGTGTGCTTGTTACGACCTGAGCCTTTGTACCACCGAGTATCATCGAGCACCAGCGCAGGTGGCATGGAGACTCAGGGCGCGAGGCATGGGGGGAAGGTATACGCAAACCCTATTGTGAATCTTTCCTCCCTTCGTTGTCGTCTCCATATGTTTCTTGTCTCTTCTCAGCCTTGTAGGATCGTATGTTGAACAGTGACTGCAGTACGTCAGCCCCTTGGAGCGGCGGTATCGGGCAGTGAATGTTTGGGAGTTGGTGTGTCGGGCTCGATGCTTGCAAACTTTACGCGTGGGCTCGATCGTGGCAGGTTGTCACATTGTGACTGGCTTTGAATCTTGGGTAGTGCTCACGTTTCTGTGGTGGTGACATCGTTGGGCTCGTGCTGGAAGAATCTTTGTTTGAAGTTTCGTGTGTCATCGTCCCGCTAAGATGGAACCTGTCTTCTCATTGATCGCAGGGGCCACTGATTTCTCCGGCGTGCCGAGGGGTGTGGAACCCCTGCGCGAGGGTTTTGGAGAGCGAACCTGCGTGCCGAGCGGAGGCCGCAAGCGGACTGCCACCGTGCCCGCGCGTTGCATCCCCTGCCCTGTTTGCGCAGCGTGGCAAGGCTTGGGGTCCTGGTGTCAACACCTCGGCGCCAAGCCTGGCGGCACCTCCGAGGCGCTCCTCACCCTGCTAGTGTTGGGGTGTCGACGCCTCACTGCCCCAGGGGCCTGTTGAGTCCAGTCTGGAACACCTCTGGGGGGTCCCTGCGGGGGACGACTCGGATCTGTGAGGGATCGTTGCGGCTAATGCGGAGCAGGTCACGTTGCTCACCGAGCAGTCTGACAACAACGTGAAGCTGATCGTGCTGGACAGACTGCAGGAGGTGCAGAAGCACCACAAGCAAGTGATGGAGGGTGCGCCGGTTACAGATGAAGCGCAGAGCAGAAAATGTGAGAGTTCGAACTCGAGCTTATCTTTACAACGCCACTCTGTGGCAGAAGATTCTAAGCAGCTTTCACTAGGGCCCGGCAGTCCACATCCTGGCCCTTACTACCACCACTACGGCTACTACGGCTATTACGGCAACTACGGCTATTATTAGTATTACTACTACTACTACTACTATTATTACGGCTGCTACTACTACTACTACTACGGCTACTACTACTACTACTACTACTACTACTACTACTACTAGTACTACCTACTATGATTACTATTACTATTACTACTGCTACTACTGCTACTACTACTACTACTTCTAGTATTCGTAGTAGTAGTAGTACTACTACTACTACTACGATTACTATTACTTGTACTGCTACTCTTACTCTTACTCTTACTCTTACTCTTACTCTTACTCTTACTCTTAATACTACTACTACTACTATTACTACTACTACTACTACTACTACAACTACTACTACTACTACTACTAGTACTACTACTACTACTACTACTACTACTATCACAACAACAACTACTACTACTAGTCCTACTACCTACTCCTACTACTACTACTACTACTACTACCACTATCACTACAACTACTACTACTACTACCACCACTACTACTATCATTCATACTACTACTTTGTGATTACTACTCTTTTTCTACTGCCCACCTACCTACCTACCTACCTACCAGTACTACTACAACAGCTACTACGACTACTACCACTGCTATTATCATTATTATTATTATCCGTACTATTATGATCACCATTGCTATTACCACTGCTACTAGTACTATTACTACTACTATCAATACTACTGCTACTCTCGCAAGTACTATTGCTATTGTTGACGCCACTCCTCCTCCTCCTCCTCCTCCTCCTCTGCCTCCTAGTAGTTCTACTACTACTACTACTGCTACTACCACTACTACTGCTGTAGGTATTATTACTATTACTATTACTATTACTATTACTACGACTACTACTACTAGTACTACTCGTACTGTTTACCACCACTATCGTTACTATTATTCCTATTACTGCTACTGCTACATACGACTTTTACAACCTACTACTACTATTGCTGCTGCTACTACTAACTACTAGTACTAGCTACTAGCTACGAACTATTTCCCAACTATCTACTAGCTACTAACTACGAATCACTAAGAACTAACTACTGCTTACTACTACTACTACTGCTACTTTTAAGTTTATCACTTCTTCTACTACTACTATTACTGCTTTTCGTAGTCGTACTACTATTATTTCTATTGCGACTATGATTACGATTATGATTATTATCATTTTCTACTACGACTTACAACTACTTCTACTACTACTTCTACTACTACTACTACTACTATTACTACTACTACTACTCCAATTACTACGGCTGCGACTATTCTTATTATTATTACTACCGCCATTATTCTTGTACTATCACTACATCTACCACTCGCATTACCACTACCACTACCACTACCACTACCACTACCACTACCACTACCACTACCACTACCACTACCACTACCACTACCACTACCACTACCACTACCACTACCACTACCACTACCACTACCACTACCACTACCACTACCACTACCACTACTACTAGTCATGACATTAGCGTGACGAGCATCTTGATACTGACCTATTGTAACCAGTGTGCTACTAGAGTGGCTACTAGTGAGAATCCGTCTATATCGGAGGTTGGGGGGTGAGATCGAAGTGGAACGGAGAGCCCCCCACCGGGAAATCGGTTTCGGTTTCGTGTTCGTGTCGTGCGTGCGGGCGAGGCGAAGCTGCGTGCGCGGGCGAGAGGAATTCATTCTGCGACAGTGGTTCGCCAACAAATGTTTCCCCCGCCGGCGCGTGTCAAGCGGTGGCCCGCATTGTCCCGTCGGTTGCCCGCCGCTGTCCTGTCTGTCGCTAGTGGTTCGCCAACATAAATGTTTCCCCCGCTGGCGCGTGTCAAGCGGTGGCCCGCATTGTCCCGTCGGTTGCCCGCTTCTGTCCTGTCTGTCGCTAGTGGTTCGCCAACATAAATGTTTCCCCCGCCGGCGCGTGTCAAGCGGTTGCCCGCATTGTCCCGTCGGTTGCCCGCCGTTGTCCTGTCTGTCGCTAGTGGTTCGCCAACATAAATGTTTCCCCCGCCGGCGCGTGTCAAGCGGTGGCCCGCATTGTCCCGTTGGTTGCCCGCCGTTGTCCTGTCTGTCGCTAGTGGTTCGCCAACATAAATGTTTCCCCCGCCGGCGCGTGCGCGGTCATCCACACCATCATCGGCCATCAGCACCACATTCACCACAGTTGTCGTCATGAGCCCCCCCCCTCCCACCCCCCCCACAACCTCCTTATCACCCGCAGGGTGGTCGTATAGGTATGTAGTATATTTATTTAAGATACCGAGGTTCCCTGGTCTCTGGCCAGGCCCCCAGCCCGCATGCAAAATATCAGGGCTACGGTTCTGTTACCGCCCTCCCGGACGTCCAAGACAGCCCGAGACGGTCCCAGAAGGCTGCAAAAGGCGCAATAATTACCGAAAGTTTCCCCAGGACGGGCCAAGAACGCCAACGATGGCTCCACGACAGCCTAAGGGTGCTCACCGGAGGTCAACATCCTGCAAGTGAAGGTCCCAAGATGGATTTGAAGTCGCCCCGGGCCTTCCCAAGGACGCCCCCCCAGGGCTTAAAATAGTAAGCAACCATTTCGTGTGCTCAATGTCTGTGGCTCTCTCGCCTCTTCGGTTCCGCTGGGATCTTGGGCGCCTCCAGCTGCTTCCAAGATCTGCCCAGCAGAGCTCCAGGAAGGGCCAAACCCGGGCCCAGGACGTTCCGAGAGGGCCCTCCAGGACGGCCCCGGGACGGCCCAAGACCCTCCCAAGGGGGCGGCGTCGAAGACCCAAGAGAGTCCGAGGAGGCGCCCACGACGCTCCTCCTTCTCCTCCTCCTCCTCCTCCTCCTCCTTCTCCTCCTCCTCCTCCTCCTCCTCCTCCCTCCTTCCTCCTCCCTCCTCCGTCCGTCCTCCTCGTCCTCCTCCCCGAGCGCTCCTCTGCGCGGCACTCCGATCGATCTCGGCGCCGGCGTGGCCCCCGGAGCACCCCGGAGGTTTCCAAGGGGCCTCCAAGGGGGTCCCAGGAGGCCCCAAACAGACGCCCAATTGGCCCCAGAAAGACGCCCGAACGGTCCCGAGAGACTACAATACTCTTCTTGCGCGCCTCAAATTGAAGACCTTTCCATTCCAGAAGGCATGCAAACACCCTCATCCTCCATTCTTTTCCTCCTCCTCCTCCTCCTCCTTCGTGCTTGCAGAGGACTAGATGTGGAGTGAAGCTGCCTTTTGAAGGCCACTCAGGCTCAGGGGCCAACTTTGCAGAGCGATACGTTGTCTATTGGATTTGTCCCCTCCCCTCTCCCTGCTATTCTCCTCCCTCGTTCTCCTGCCCTCCCCTCTCGATGTTTCAGGAGAGGCCTTGGGGATCATGTGGCGTCTCTTCCCTCCCACTCTCCTCCTCCCTCTCCTCCTCCTCCTCCTCCTCCTTCTCTTTATCTTCCTTCTCCTCCTCCTTCCTCCCCTGCGCCACCCGCAGCTGGTTTCGGCCCCACCGCCAGGCGCTTTCCTCGATACAGAGCCACCATTGGCGTTGGGAGGCGCCAAACAGACCAGCTATGTGAGCTGATCTGATGCCCCGCCCTTTGTCCCCCCCCCTGTTCGCCCCGTCCGATCCTCGGATTCGACTCCATGGATCTCTTTGGCGGCTTCGCACAGCTTGCCCCGCGCGGAGCGTCTTCATGGGATCGCCTATCCATGGGGTCGCGCTGCGGTAGCCAGACCGCGAAGCCGTTCGTCGTGTTCGTGGACGTGTTCGTCGTGGACGTGTTCGTCGTGTTCGTCGTGGACGTGTTCGCGGAAACCAGGATGTGGACGTGTTCGTCGTTCTCGCCTGTCGCGGAGCGGGCGGCTCCCAGCCAGCTGCCTCGACCCTCCGCGGGGGCTCCCCTGGCCTCCCGGACCTCGCCCCGGCGGCCCCCAGACGGGCCAAGGGAGCCGCAAGAAGCCCCCATATGACGATCCAGGAACGTCCCGAATCGCTGACAGAGGCGCTCCACACGCACCAGATGGCCTCCTGACGGCCCAACATAAACATGCTTGCAAGACGCCTCAATATGCCTCCAAAAGCACTCCCACAAGAACCCCAGGAACCAGTTTTTTGGTACACAGTCAACGTATGTGTGTGTATGTATGTATGTATGTATGTATGTATGCATGCCTGCCTGCCTGCCTGCCTGCCTGCCTGCATGCATGCATGCATGCATGCATGTATGTATGTATGTATGTATGTACGTACGTACGTACGTACGTATGTATGTATGCATGCATGCATGCATGCATGCATGTATGTATGTATGTGTGTATGTATGTATGTATGCATGCATGCATGCATGCATGTATGTATGTATGTATGGATGGATGGCTGGATGGATGGATGGATGTATGTATAAGCCCCTTTCGGCTCGAGCGGTTTCCGCGGGGCTGGTGGAGGCACCACGCAGGCGCGGGATGCCTGCCCAAGCATATCAGGCGCCGCTCCGATGTGCTCCCTCAGGCGCATGATGGGCGCTGCACGCGCCACGTTCTTATCGCTCGCGGTGTTCAACCCTTTCAGCTTGACGGGCACCCGTGGTGAGGAGGTCTCCGCCCAGCTACGCCAGATCCAGATCGTGGGCTGCCCTGGCACGAAGATCCCGAAGCACCCGCACAGCCCCCACCATGTCCAGCGGTACGCGTACCACACGGCCATCCACTTCGGCTACGGACGGCCCAGCATGCACGTGAACAACTCCGCGGGCTGCAGCATCCTCCTCGGCCGCAGGTTCAAAGAGAAGCACGCCAAAGACATCATCACGCCGCCGCCAGAAGTGTACGGCCGAGGAGGCGCCATCACCATCGAACACGGC